TCTCCCTTCTCATGTTTTCTCTATGGTTACCTTTCCTTTCATGTGGGATAAAAGATGTTCGATGACGACTTTATTGTTTGATGATTTTCAACCGGTTGTTTCACATATTCCCGTAGAGTTTCTGTCTATCCTTGTCGGACGTTTAATAAGGTGGTCGTCGGGACCTTCTGATGTGTGTTGGCAGAGAAGTTTTGTACCAACTTCTTGGTCAAGTATGAGTAGCTCTCTACGAACAAACATGAAAGAATCATGTACCACCTAAGCTCCACGTTTTTGAAGGTTCCCACCATGAGTTTACACTTCAGCGAATCAATATGGCCTATTTTTGCCATATGATTATTGACATCAATAACATGCTCTTATGGATCAATTGTGTCGTCTTAATATGTGAGCGACGAAGATTTGAAGTTCTCAGGGACTTGATCATCCCATATTGCTTGAGAATATTGTTGGGGTTCCAGAAGCTCCTCTTCTGGATCTTCGCCCCCTGACTTTTTTTTTGCAAGACTATTACTCTATCCTGCAGATTTTCATTTTGTTATCTGAGGGTGTTCACCAGGTCTAGTAGTTGCGTAATTTCTAGGGGTCTCCGTCAGTGACATTCTGTTGAATATGATTTGAGGTGCGACCTAGGACAATTTTACCGAGTTCCTACCGTGGGCGCCAATTTTTTTTGCATAGGAACTATAAATGATTAGCTTACCTATAATTATAGGGAGATCCGCAAGGGGTAGATTTTTGTAGAGTATTTGGGGATTTAGGGCTACGACGATAGTGCGTATTGTCCCAAGAATGAATGTCTTGCTTATCCCTCTGGTGGGATATCCTTTTATAGTCCTCTTTTAGTGCCATTTAACAGCCTCAATCAAGGTGTAACCCTTGGGATTCGTAACTGTGTAACATCCTCCATCACCATGAATGAAGGTGTTCAAAGCTGTGTAACATTGGGTTTAATGCGCCGACGATTGTTATAGTAATAAATGAGTCGGGTTGATTACCGACTATATGTAGGTAGAATCTGGTTACGAGTATCATTTGGGTTGGTGGCGCAAGTGGGTTGCTACCCGGAGATAATGATGGTCATTCAACACCTTTAGCCGAGTTGCACCTCCTTCCGGGTACCCCTCATTATTATGGTCAAACCACTAATCTTGTTCTCTTTTCAGATGACTTCATGACACGGTCGAGATTAATATTTCTTGGATGTACAATACCAATAATTTTATTTATCTATTATTAGACTTTTAATTATTCAAATTTGTTCTATCACAATCTTATTTGTACCAACATTATGGGAAATGCTTACATGTTCCCTAAAAGCTCATGTTAAGAACTAAATACAAATTTTTAGGGAAAATCACTTCCAGGGTCCTTTAAGTTTTTTTATTGTAACAAGTCAGTCCTTTAAGTTTCTTTTTGGTTAAAAATGTCTACAATGTTGAACTTATTCACAAGGTCCATTTTAAAAAAGTTGAATTGTCACTTATGGCGCTGATAAGTCATTTAACAGAGCTGATGTGTCATTTAACTTAGTCATTTAAGGTATATGTTTTACTACACGATGTTTCAATCCCTAAAATAGAGTATCCATCCCTAATCATAATGAACATAGTAGAATGCAAATGCAGTTGGATATGAACTCAACGAAGGTGACGACATCGTGAAGCTGAGGTAAGTCTCATTGCATGTTCTTATTTTGAAAACGAAAGTCTCCATCTTATTTGTGTGTTTTATTTTAGTTTAATGTATTTGTGGGTGCGTTGTTGATAGTGGTAATGGAAGTGTTCATCTTAGGGATTTTTTGCTTATTTTCTTGTTGGGTCTGTATATTATTGATGTAAATAGGTAAAAATGGGTATAGATGAATTTAATGTTGATTTCCATCATGGGGGATGTTTCGTTGATGAGAAATATGTAGGAGGGGAAGTGTTAAAATAGAAGTGTGATGGTGATAGATAGAGTTACTTTGAGATTTTGGGGGTTGTTAAAGAGATGAAGTATCCAAGGATTCTACAAATGTGGTATGACTTTGCTAGAACACTTAAGGCGCTAGAAGATGACTTTGGTGTAATAGAAGCATTTAACTGGTCTAAGACTATTGGAAAGGTTAACATATACACTGTACACCATATTTCTCAACCTGATGTTATAGTTTGCCTACTAGAGGTTGAATCCAATGAACAATTGAATGCCCAACTAAGGAATGATGTTAATGCCCAACCAGAGGACGATATTAATGTTAAACCTGAGGATGATGTTAATCCCCAACCCGAGAAAGATATTGATTTCCAACTTGAGGATGATATTAACATCCAACCTGAGGATTATATTAATGTCCAACCTGATCCCTAACCTGTTAATGTTACAAATTCCCGACCTGATAGTGATGACAGTGCATTAAAGCACAAGTTTTATGACTCAAATAATGACGTTTTAAATGAAGGATTTGATGAAGTATTGGTTGGAGAAGGGGTTATTATTACTGTTAGCAAAGTGATCAACCTGTTGATGAAATGCTAGCACATTAAACACCTCCAAATAAAAAGAGAAAGGTGGAATACCAAAGAAAAATAATTAAGAAGACACACCCAAAAACACAGGGGAAGGCCTAATAATAAAAGGGTGAATGAAACACTTGAAATATATGCTGAAGTATAAAGTTATGAATATTTCCTTTATTATGGATTTAAGAAAATGACAACGTGTAAGAAAATATGTCGTGGTTTGTCAGATTCTGACTATGTAACTGAAGATCTAGAAAGTGAGGATGACATGAGTAGTGATTATTTAGATGAATTTGGAAATGTTAAATCCCCATCATTTGTCATGCCTAAGAAGTTCAACGATTATAAATGGGTGTTAGGAAGCTTGTTTTCAGCAAGGGAGAAGTTCAAGGAAGCTATTACAAGTTATGTTGTTCATAATGGTAGGGATTTGAGGTAACTAGGAAAATAAACAATGAAGTCGCCATCAAATGCTATTTTTCCCACAGTAGGGAAAGGATAACATTTGAGGCAACCCAATGCCTACATATCCTTTTTAGGAATCAAAGTGTCGTAGTTCGACTTAAAAGTTTTTGTTTGTTTGTGTTTTTTAATGAACAATGTTAATTTCACATTCTACTATTGCTCTATCTTTGGAGACTCGCGCAATTGTCATAGAAAGGAACTAACATGTTCTTACCTGAAAAGGTTTTCTAAAGAAAAAGCCCGAAGGCAGCCCGAAGGAAAAAGATTTGAATTAGTTAAGTATTTTTGGTAGGAGATCCCTTAAGTGGTCCTCTTGGAGGATTTTTAAATTTATCTCCTTTAAGTTTTAAAAGTGATTGAGATATGTGCCTTGCTAAAGTTTATGACACGAAGACCCTTGGATGATCGAGTCAGAGGCCTCGGATCCGAAGTCCTCTTCGTGTACATAAGGCCTGTGGCACATCACACATATCTTTATACATTAGGTGTTTTTGAATTTTATTAAGAAAAGGGTTTTAGTTTTAAGGATGCAAAAGGGAATGAAAAATCTAAGGGAAATTATATTCATAATGTTATCATACAGTGATGGTCTTATAGTTAGGATTGAAAGGGAATTCTATATAATTTTAGCATGCGTGGTTTAAAACCTAATGTCTACCTTGGTTATAAGCAAACCAAGTGAACCTAAGGGACATACATAGGTAAGGAAAAGATTGCAAACAACAAAATAAGATGGATTACAAGCCTACCAAAAACCAAGGTGTATCACCTAGCAAGCAAGCAATGATGAAATAAGCTTAAGCCTCTAATGCATATTTCAAGTCATCAATCAAGTAGCACGAATGTGTCACACATAAAACACTAATGTTCCCCTAAGGGTCATGCATATGTGGTTCTATCCTAAGGCATTACAAACCAAATCAAGAGTAATCAACAAATTCGCTAGCACTCAAGGCTTAGAGTGTAAAGATAATACCAATGCTCAACATACAAGGGTGATATGACTCATGAAAGGTGGGGACCTAAACATTGCAGCAAGTACACATCATAAATCTCATACAAATATACTCCAAAAGATGGGATAAGAATTGCAAAGGAATCATGCAAAGGAAGGCTAAAGAAACTATACAAATGTCAACTAGTTCCTAGAATTTACAAGCCTATTCTTAAGGGAACATGCAAGAAAGAACAAAGTCGTCAACTCAATTCTAATTGAGTCACTCGCCGATCAACAATAAGTAAAGGAAAGAAATAATATCAAAAGAAATAGCTTAAAATCCAACCAACACCTTTGCATCTAACGCCAATGCCTGGATACCTCAAGGACTTCAGATGCAGATGCATGAAAAAGAGGTAAAAGGGATCCAAGTGGTACCTAACGGAGAATATTACACTCTTAGTTTACATCAGATCAATAAAAAAAAATTAATCACAATAATTATATAAGTAAAAAAATAGAAGCAACCTGGAGGTGCAAACTGCATAAAAGATGTATAACCTTGTAGTTCCATATGTGGTGCTAAGCCCAAATCAGAAATAACCCATAATCTTATTTTTTGTATCATTATCCAAAAAGCTACAAAAAAATTACCGTTTGGGCCAGGATAAGGGTGATCTGGTCTAGACCATTATCCAACATTAACTTTCAGCATTATTTATTTATTACCTCCATCCAATTTTCTATTATTAAAAGTAGATAATAATGAGAATTAAAACAAATTGGAAAGTACATTAGGAGAAAAAAAGTTGCATTTTCTGGTTAGGGTTAAAATATTGAGTGACGCTTCAGTTTCTCTTCAACACGCTTCTTCCTTTTGAAATGCCACGACACTGTGAATCGCACCGACGATGGCGAGTCACTTCAAAATCAGTAGAATCAAAAAGTTCCAACACAAACCTCCCTCTAATTCGCACTCTAATCACTTATTAGGCCCTGATTATCTTCAATTCCTCCTCAATCAAAGGGATAAAACAAAACTCTGAAATGGTAATCCTAAAGTCTATAGAACAAAGGCTTATTCCAGTTCATTGATGAAGCACTTGAAGACGATGATAAAAAGAAGACCAAAGGGGAGATTTTGGCCCTTAAGGTAAGAGCTTATGTTCTTTATCCTCTTTGCTTCCGCAAATTCTTCTTATTCTCATTTTTTTCTTCTAGCTTGAATCATTTCTGATCTTGTTGTGGTTTTTGCTTTCTGATGTTGTAAGGGAAGTTACAGATGTGATGATGAAGCTGATGATGAATTTGGTTGAAGTTATTGTAATTGTAATACCCAAAATTTTCCCTACTAGTATTACTAGGCAACATAGTTTATTTAATCATGTTTTCTATTAAATTTTGGTGTTGCTACACTTTTATTTAAAATTATAAGGCTAACGTTGTGCTCGTTGTTTTAAAAAAACATTGTTTTTTTTAAATCTAAGAGGGGGTGTTTATTTATCATTTCTTTTTAAAGGGGTGTGGGTTTCACGAATTATAAAATAAAACTAATTGGCCCATTAAGGTTTTAATAGGAAGCCCGTTAGATTATATTTTGTTAAATTTTATAGTCGTTGACTAGAGTCAACATTGTTTTAAAATATTATTTATTCATTTTTTTTATTATTATTAAATAATATTTTCTTTATTTATTTTTAGTTTGGTTGACTCAGGGTCAACACATTTACCCATTACTATTATCATTTGTTTTATTTATATTTTAATTATTTGGAAATGTTAACTGAGGTCAACTAGGGTTCTCAAACCCTTTGTTAAAACAACACTTCCATGTTCTTATCCCCTAAGTCATGTTAAAAGCCCAGGTCCAAATATTGGTAACTCAATCAAATCTGAAATAATTTTGATTGGAATTGTTTATTGATTATAATGAATTCGTACAGGAAAAACATCCAGATACAGAATCAATCGCAAACCCTAATTTCTATTTTACAATAGGATATAATCTAATCAAATATTACAAATTAAAATCAATCAATCTAACTCTAATCTAATATGTAACTACAAATTACATAACAAATATTTCCTAATCTACTCTAGTTTTAAAGTTATAAAAAGAAAAACCTAATTTCTAAACACATGATCGAAGAATGAAGAAGAAGGATAGAAGGAGAACTTGAAGAGAAAAGCCTTCAAACCTTCAGATTTTACCACGAATCCTCATACATGCGAACATAGAAAGAAGGAGATTTGAAGAGGAAATCAGAAAATTATACAGCGAGATTCACTGTAAGAAAGGTAAAAACTTATCTTTAATTTCTGTTTTTAGGGTTAGGGTTCTTCGCTTCAACCCTATGGTTAGGTTCACCCACCTTAGGGTTAGGGTTTATCCATCTTAGGGTTAGGTTTCTTCATAAGTTGAGTTAGGGTTCTTCGAATTCTGGAAAAGTGATGAATTTCTCGACAAAAATTTGTCATTCACGAAGGCCTTAACGGCGGCTTACGGTGGCTAAGGTTAGGGTTCTAAGAGGTTACTAGGGTTTATGTTAAGTTCTGGGTATGGTGGAGTTTCACGGTTGAAACTCAATCGGAATCTGGGAAAGTTACGGTGGTTTAGGGTGGCTTTGTCGGCTAGGCGATTTACTGTGAGCCTTTGTGGTGGAGAGATAGAGAGGATAGTGTTTGAGGGTGAAGAGAGAGAGAAAAAAATGAAAAAATGAAATGTTTTGAAGATAACACACGAATATACTCCCTCCGCGCTTCTTTTATCTTGCAATAGGTGTTCATCTACTGGCCATGTCATTGGATTACTTGAACGTAATCATGCGTGTCACCTTACTATACTCCCTCGGTTAAACTTAAATCAGGGCCTTTCATTTGAGTTACTTTTAATCAACGTCCCAGATTTAACCTCTGATGACATTTTGATCAAAATAAAACGTCCCAGATCCTACACACCCATAATAACTCCATAGACCTTCCCACACCATGGCCAACAAACCTCACAAGCAACCTGGGCCTGACCAATTTCTATGTACACCCTTTTACTTTACTGTGTTAACATAACTCACACCGCCATGCGCTATTGGGCTTTGTAATACGGTGGGAGAAATGACTTTTGTGTTTATCATAAATGTGTGGATAGATAGAAAAGGTGAGAATGAAAGGTGAAAAGGTGAAAAGGTGAAAAGAATAGGAAAGACGTTGATAGATTTTGAGTTCGGCGGGTAAGATATGAAAATGGAAGGTGTTAGCACCCTTTTCATCTGTAGCTATCTACGGGCTCTTAATCGCTAGCTCACTTTTTGAAAATAGATTTTTTTGTGTAAGTGTTTGAAAATATTTTTAAAAAAAGCCAAAGTACGGCTATCTTTGTAATGGTTCTAGTATCAGTCCTCAAGAATGCGTACAAAGTGTTTTAGAAAATATTTTTTAAAGTGATGTGTGAAAATGTTTTTTTTAGAAAAGTTGTGAGCGAGCGATTAATAGTCTTACCCTCTCAAGGTCGTTCTTGTTATTTTCCTTATACTTTAGAGATAGTGTTATCGGTACCATTAGTTGGTAGGTAGCCCCATCTATTGGATTTGAAGGGACAATCGAGGGTCATCGTGTGGTCATCGAAAGCAACAAATAAGGATACTTTAGCATTTATCATAGGGACTAGATCATTTGTTCGTAGGCAACATCGAAGGGTCATCGAGGGACTATGATCTTTTATTCGAAGGGACTATGCTAAAGTATCCTTATTTTCGAGGGACATGACCATGTTCCGAATGGCAACGAAGAGAGGTAACCCTAAAGGTGCGTGTGCGAATAATGATTCTATTCAATTGATTTATCTTGCATTTAGGGTTATGCTATCGATCGTTTTTATCTTGCCATACACGCCTAATTACTAACAACATACAAATAAGGAAACAATATAAAGTGCGGAAAATAAAAGTCCTACGCTATTAGATGACTTCGGGGCATATACGTAATAAAGATGCGGAAAATAAATCCTAAAAGTATTACATACTCTGAGCAATTACATAATAGGAAAAAAAAAGTGCCAGAAAATTATAAACCTAAGCTATTACAAAAGGAATGCGCGACCTACATAATTGATCTAGAAAATAGAAAAATAGGAAAATAGAAAAGAAAATGTTTTCGGTGATTTTTTATAAAGAGAATAGTTTATGATGATAATTAATAAAAACCTAAAATTCTAATTGATTTTAATATTTAAAAAAAAAGGTTTAATCAATTTAACTAATAAAAATAAAAATTTAATTGTTACAAAAAAACTCAAACCCTAACTTAATTAGTTATTAGAAAATTATTAGGTTAATTAAGAATAATTAGGGTTAGTTAATTATTAGGGTTAATTAATTAAAAGGAAAATAATTAAAAAAAGGAAAAAATAGGGTTCGGTAGAAAGGACATAAAAGTATGCATGGGTGCGTGTTGAACCCACGCCCTGAAAGTCACAGGCACGTCTTCCATCCACTGCGCCAGCGCTGCATTTGTGTTAGGAAAACAAGTGTATTACATAATATGAGAAACCTTCATAAATTGGTAAAAGTATTAAAAAAAATATTAAAAGGAAGAGATCGAACCCACACTGTTGTATAGTAATGCCTTAACGTGCGCGCTTCTGCCACTGGGGTGGCTATACATCTATTAACTTAATCAAACCAAAATATATTTAATATAAATCTCATTAGAGTGACCGGAGAAGCTTCGGAGCCATAGCTCCGGTCGTCTTCTCCGGCGAGCATATTTAATCAACCTACAAAACCACAACTGTTAGTGATCCAAAGGGGCCCTACCCCCTAATTTGAGGGCTGCAAATTCAATGGTTCCCTTGGTTTTGGCTAATTCTCCCTGCATAATAAAATACAAAGAAAACAATATGGGTCAAATCAATAATGGTAATCCATGATTCCTTCATCATGGGGGCCATGTGATGGGTTAAACCTGTATAATTACATCTCAGAAACACAATGAAAGCATTAGTAGGGATCAAAGCATGGTAAAAATACAAAATCGAAATTCATGAAAATATGTCAATCGACCATGCTTGGAATGCTAGTTTTATGCACTTTTGATCATCTAGGATGATCAAGTCTTACCCTATAACACCTCAGTGATTGTTTGGATCGGCTGGTTTGATGATTTCAAGTTTGCCCTAATTTGGACAAATTTTGATATTTTTGAGAGGGTTCTTCTGCAAGGTTTTTTCGTGGTTGTCATGTATGAATATAATTTATATTTATAGTCCATAGATTAGGTTAAAAGATGGGATTGGACTTTATATGAGAACTATGATTTTGTTTGAAAATAGAACATGAATAAGACAAAAGAAGAAGATTTGATGCAAGAATAAGCTCACATGGTTTTTGTATGATCTTGGGGCCCCAAAATAAATCAAATATTAATCCCTTTAAGCCTTGCACCTCCATTTGATATTTTGTATTTAATTTGAATTTTAAGTATCAAATGGTAGATGCTTTTTAGAATAAAGTTCTGAAGGGGAAATGCGTTCCATAACTCCATCGAAGGAAATGCTCGCTAGAACTAGGTCTCTGAGGGAATGCTTTTTATGGTTCCATCTCTGAAGGGGACATGCTTTTCAGAATGAAGCACTGAAGGAGATCCTTTTCAGAATTGACTCCTAAAGGGAGATGCTTTTCAGAATAAAGTGCTGAAGGGGAAATGCGTTCCAGAACCCCTCTGAAGGAAATGCTCACCCGAAGTCGGTCTCTTGGGGAATGCTTTTCAAGGTTCCATCTCTGAAGGGGACATGCTTTTCAGAATGAAGCGTTGAAGGAGATGCTTTTCAAAAAATTTTTTTGAAGGGAAATGCTTTTCAGAATAATGTGTTGATAGGGAAATGCATTTCATAACTACTCTAAAGGAAATGCTCCCCAAAACTCGGCCTCTGGGGGAAATGATTTTAAGGGTTCCATCTGAAGAGGACATGCTTTTGAGAATGAAACGCTAAAGGAGGTGCTTTTCAGAATAAAAACTTCTGAAGGAGATGCTTTTCAGAATAAAGTGGTGAAGGGGATATGCGTTTCAGAACTCCTCTGAAGAAAATCACTTGTTCAAGTAGATAGTTGCCCCATCTTGTTTTGGAATTGATCCATAACCTGTCTGTAAATTACTGGTAATATCTCTCCTCTTGTGAACTTAACCTTAAAAGACAAAGTTAGTTATGTGCAATGTCATGATTTATGTAATGCATTGTGTCATGATGCTCTTAAAATAAATGAGAATATTATATGCATTTCGTATGCATATGTTATGATTTTTGTAAATGATGTTTGAATGTAATGTGTTATTGGAGTGTGTAATTAGCCTTGTGTGATAACGTCTGACTGGGGAAAATAAATCTCTGATTGTTGCTGGGGATG